CGCCGTCGCGCCCGGGAACTAGCGTGGAGTGCAATCGTCGCCGGGACTCGCGCTTGCGCTTGGCCTCCGTGGCACGATCGTCGTCCGTGGCGTCGGCCCGCCGGTGCCCTTTGCATCGCTGGTTCTGTTCTCGGCGGAGGCTTTCCAGCCGAGCGATGTGCTCTTCTTTGGCAAGGGAATCTGAAGCTCTCGACGCAGTGGAAGTTGAGGCGAGAGCGGCTTTGCGGCGGTTGCTGACCCATTCGCGCAGCTGCGTACGTCGCCGCGCCTTCCGCAGCCAGTCTTCTTTCCCCGAAAAGGCGCGCGGCCGACCCATCCTAGGCCCACCCTAGAGCCACTCGATATGGCAGCGTAGCTGGCAGAGTAGCGCCACGCTTTTCCCTGTGCCGCCTCTCACCGCGATTGGTCACACGCGGTTCCATAGCAACGAGCTGAGCTGGCTCGGTTTCCGTAGCAACCGAGTGACGACTCGTCACGTGACCTTTCAAGAGCCGTGATGTCATCGGTAAGATGGCAGCGCCCAGAGCTGGTGGATGCGAGTTTGTTCGGTGCCCGGAGTCGTGATGTGCCGCAGCTTGCCGACGATTTAGGGCTTCTTCGTGCTTTCTAACGTAGGTATAACATGAAGATCTGAAATAATGATACTTTATACCCTTTCTGTGCAAGATCGCTTTGGATATTAGCACCTGTGCGACAGCATCAGTAATATCACCTTAGTGGTGCTCGGATTTCCGGTTGTGTTTAAGGATCGATAAGGCTAGTGCCACTAAATAAGCTACGCTTCAGAGTAACGACACTTGGCCGTATTGCGTCTTAAAATCATGGTTGCCAGTTATCTGAAGCTTTATCTGAAATCACAGGAAATGCTTTTCCGTCCTCCACAAATGTTCAAACCGTTCGCGACAGATCAAAGGAATATTACATGACCTTCCTAACACCAAATCTAATTCTCAGGAAGTCGCACTTTTGAATCATGACGATCGGCCGTTGTGTCTGTCCTGCATACGAGCCAAAATGGCGGCGCCCGCAACAATGTCGGGGAACGGAGTGCCGATAGTCTAAGCGCAGCTTATTTAGTGGCTCTAGATAAGGCCTTTAGCGTGCAATTTTCGCCTTCTCATAGTTTTATTTTAACGTTCGAGTGTCTGAGAATCGATGCAAAATCTATGCATCGCATGTTGGGCCTTGGGAATTTGTTTTTGCCCCAGGTAACCGCATGATCACAAACTTTTAGTGAGGAAGCTCCTGCGATGTTTACGTTTTGTACTAATCAACCAGGGAACCTGGGTTCAATCCCCATCCCTGCCCGTTTCTCTCTGAATGAGCATCGTACCGGCCTGCGGTTGTGTATCACTACTGCGTGATGCACGTTAAAGACCTATAGACCCAAGGCTAGCGGTTATACTGCATTGGCTAAATTACTCATATACAGCGAGTGACTCGTCGCAACTTTGAAATGGCTGACCAACTACACACTGTATAAATATTCACACACCTCCCAAATATACCAATCAACAATTTTACGAGATGCGGAGCGCAAGTTTGTCTGCTTCTTTTAGTAGGGGTTGTGGTGACGTGAGAACGCCGAGCTCTGATTGGTTCTGAATAAAGAATAATGCGTAGGCCTCAAGGCAGCTTGCTTTTAGGACTACCCACTATTCTTCATTCAGAAACCAATCAGAGCTCGGCGTCTTTCTGACGTCACCACATCTCCTGCAAAAGAAGCAGACGAACTTGCGCTCCACATAGCTTTTAGGATAAAATTTTTGCATTTTTCTAGCTTCCTTTGAAAGTCTGAATTTCTGAGAATCATAACGAAAGGTATACGGCGCGTGTAGGGCCTAGGGGAAATTGTTTCAGCCCTGGGTTACCGAATAATCACAGCATTTTTTAGCGAGGAAGCTCCTGCGATCTTTAACCTTTTTTACTAATCGCCAATTTTACGAATTGGCGGTTCTGAAGATTTTGATATAACTTTCTTTCGTTGCAGTAGCTTGCATTTGATCGCAGTATTCTTTTGGTTTGTTTTTCAAGTCAAAAAATGGCGTTCGCTCAAGTGACGTATATGAAACGTCCTGCTATATAGCAATGCATTAACACATACTATTAAACTTAGATGCTCAGAAATATGTTCGCCTTTGTAATTAACAAGTTACAGACGTATTTATTTATTACGAGTGTAATATTTATTTTCTGAAGCTGGGCCCGTTTTGTGCTCCTTAAGGTGTATCCACACGACGGACCGGGCCGCGGACCGATTGATCACGTGATGCGCGGCCCGCGGGCCGCCCGGCTGCAATGAGCATCCACACGGCGGGCCAAAAGAGCAGACGACAGAGTGAACGGGCCGGTCTAACCCTCGACCTCACAGCATCGCCAAACGCATGCAACGAGCTGCTTTGAGGCTATTTATAAGGAGCCAAGATGGAGGTTGAACGAAAGCGACTTTTGGCCGCGGTGGCCCTGGCGTTGACTATTGAGGACGAGGAGGACTTAAGTGAACCGAAAAGGGCATGCATCTATTGTCCCACAGAGCGGGGAATTGCTCCACGAGCGCGATGAAGTAAAAAGTTGCATCGTCGCACCATGCCGCCATCGTCGAACAACAAAATTTTCCTCTTTGTCTTCAGCAGTTGGTGCCAGAAGAACACGACTTTCGATTTGGATTCCGATCCGAACAAGAAAAGTCAGCTTGTTGCCAGACCTAGAGCTTCAATTATACTAAAAACACCGCGGTCCGGCGCCAAGGTCCGGACGAGAAAAGTCACTTGGCATTTTTCAGAAGCTCGGGCCGCGGACCGCCGGCGGACCTCAAAAAGCGGTGACGTAAGATCACGTGATGCGCGGCCCGCGGACCGAAACAGCAATTTGGACCGTCGTGTGGATACACCTTTAATGTCAGTGTGCTATGACGTTATCATCATATGTGTATGGTTCTAAATATCCCCTTTACAATGCCTACAAAGGCCAAAATGACGTCAGCCGACCCTAACTCACGCATTGGACACGAAAACTGCGTCCCTCGGATGTATACGCTCGTCAGCAATCAATTCGTCCATGGATATTTGAATTCGAGTTCCTGGCCAATGAGTGTCCTGACAAAGCTTATCATCACTTGCGAATGCCAAGTTCTACGGTGTGCTTAAAAAGCACGGTGAAAGCTTGGGGTCATCGCACTGGTGCCCTAGCATGTCACGACTGCGCGATTTCACAGTTCTCTTTTCAGTTGACGATTACAGGTAAGGAAGAAGAAGTTTAAAAATAATTTCGTGGCCCCTTTAACACGAATATGTGTGCTACACCAGATACAAATATTGACTTTTTGAATGCCGGTAAACTTCCGAACGACCTCTTGGCCTGTCGGAAAGAACACCTCATATCCGGCGTCCGTCTCTTTTGATGGCGTCAACAATTCCCGAGAGACCACCATGCCGTCCTTCTTGGTTGAACCCCGTCGACGTCGCTCCTCACCAGTCGGTGAGAAAATTTACTCTTGAAGGGATGATCGGGTCTTGAAGAAGTATGATGCTAAACATCTACTTGCTCACTATGGGGCAGTCGAGCAGCAGTCATGTTCCGAGCCAATCGTCCTGTCGTGGCCGGCGTAATCGGATTTTGTTCCATCGGAGCGAAGTCCGAAAGTACTACGACGGTACGTTCGTCCCACGCAGCGGCCGCCATCCCGGCGGCGCCGAAAACCACTCGCCTTGTCCGTGCACGTACGATACCATAGCAGCTCTCGTCAGCTCTCGTCGCCCGACAGTCCATGGGATGCAAATCGTCTCACTTTTCAGAAAAAAACAGGCACCGTTCCTCCAGAGGTTCTTGCCGTACCGCGATGCCAAGCGTCTTATACCACTTTTCAATGAACGAATGGAGATATCAACTAGACTACAAAGGTTGCCGCCCGGCGTAGATAGAAGCACGGTTACCATGGCAACCTCCCAGGCCCAAAATGGAGATCACTATCAGCGCATCTGACGTCGTGCATCTAGATAATTTTGCGTCGTGTCGCTACTCTGGCAGCTACGCTGCCATATAGACGCTTTGCAGCAGCTGTGCATGGGCACCGCCATAAGTGACCTTCAGTTTTTGCTTCCCCTTATTACGTTTACTTCACTTCATTATTACCATAGCTGGCCAGGTTATTGCCATCTTAGATTTTATTCTGTCTTTCTCCCCAGCATTGGCTTTTGTGGAGTCTCGTCCACACCAATTTCAGTGGCTCGGTATCTCGGTAAAACAAGAGAAGGTCAGCAATGGAGGCTGCATTCTGGCGCGTGTGTAAAGCGTCTATAGAATGGCTCTAGCCCACCCGTAACAGATAAGAGCGTTGGAAACAGCGCGAAAAACAGACAAGGACGAAGAAACACTCGTGACGAGCGCTGCGCTCGTTACGTGTGCTTCTTCTTTGCCGTCGTATGTTTTTCGCGCTGTTTCCTACGATGAATTCCCACCAAAGCGCCCGACTATCCATTCTTCTATGATAGCTGGAGAGGTTGGCGCCATCTACGAGCGACGGCGGCAACCAGACTCGTTGAGTGCTTGCCGCCGTCGCTTATAGATGGCAGTAGCTGTCCAGCTAGGTTAGAGTGCCTACATACACACGCGCGCTTTTGCTTGAGTGGTGACATCTCAGCCATTTTTCAGCGCAATCGTTTTTATATGCATCTTGAAGTGCGTGCAATCCGGTGTCACTCAGCTCGAGCGCGTAGCTTTGGCTAATGCATTGACGCCATTTTACCGCCCAAGTCACGCACCGAGTGCGCGAGAGCGTCACGCGCTGGCATATTCAGGACAACAATGGATGTCTCCACCCTGAGGCAGACAGACATGTAGGCACCCTAAGCTAGGTTTGTGTCGACATACCGGACACGATCCTGGGGAACCTAGCTCTTAACAGCTCCGTGGTAAAAACCTTTGTTAGCGCTGCACGTTGCTCTCTTGACAATCGTCAGCTTTAAATGCCCTGATTTAATACGTACCTCATTTCTTTACAGCTCCCGGAAAGTTCACAGTAACTGCTGCGGCAACGAGTCCTTCATCCATTCGGCTGCTCATAGATCCTCCCAAAGAAAAAAACGGCAACTTGGACGGTTGCTCCTCGCAGTGCTCATCCTCTGAGAACAAGAACGAGATAAACTGCGCTCCAGATAACGTGGACATAGAGGTGAAGGATCTAATACCAAGTAGCCAATACACCTGCCGTGTAACATTTTACAACAACCACGAGGGTCAGCGTCTCGAGACAACGCAAGAGGTTGGCGTCCTTACACCAAACCGTAAGTTCGGCTCTTCGTTTGTGGTATACGTGCTGATTGAAGGAGGCGTTGTTTTTGCGTGTGGAGTTTGGTCTACAGTTCTTATGTGAGGACCGACCATACTTATGTGATGGCCGCCCTGCCAGCTTGCACAGTTTAAAAAAAGCCTTCAATGGACAAGTATGCGGAGTTACGCGAGTGACGTTCTCAGCGTACACAAGTCCTAGGTCAGCGTCGTCGTTCACACCGACCAGGTGCAGCGTGGAAAGATTTCTGCGTTTGCAGTTGAGTTTAGCGGTTTCCATTTTATACACCACCGTAGACGAATTCATCGGTTTGCGCACTTGACCCTAAGGGGTTTAATGAGAAGCTATCGTTAAATCAAACTGAACCGCCGCCGAGCTATTATTGTTTATACCGACAGAGCATCCTTCCCTCTCTCTGCCACCAAGTTTATGTTTATCGCAAAAATCTGACTTTTCGGTCACGTCATGCATACGCCGGGGAGAAATACCTGGGACTTCTTTCTCATGTGAATACTGCTTAAATTACAATATACTAGGACTATTTATTTTAAGTTCCGATGAAACGTTTTTACGAAGAAGGGTAACAAAATTATTTTAACATACGTACAATGAGCACGCAAACTTTATATACTACATTAGACAATTACCGTACAAATTAATGCAGTTTTTATCAACTGGAGTAGGATAGTAAGTTGTGCCAGTTTGTAACAGATGAACATGATAAATTATAGTCTCAATAAGCATAGACAATGACGAGGAAACGAACACTAGAGCACAACGGCGACTCGCAACTGAAGTTTATTGTATGAAACGGAAACAAAGGAAACTTCTTAAACAAAGTACAGACATAAAACATTAAAACGCACACGCCTACCAGGCAACTAGAGGCTGCAAAGGTATCGCCTAACAAATTGGAACTGAAGTTAGGCCGAAGGTACCTCTCTTTCTCGGATAGAGGCACCGATGGCTCACTGACACATCTGTCTGCCCACAAGGAAATAAAGAATGCTTCAATTATTTCCCGAGCCATTCTGTCTGGGCGTCTACCCATAACAGTCGCGTTACAAAAGGAGGTGAGACATGAACAATCCCTTTTATGAAGCGGTTGGGGGCCCCTGACCGTAGCCCTAAGAGAATAATCCTTGTCTTTTAACCTTCCTTTTAAACTCCTTCGTGTCTGGCTTACATAAGATATTCCACACGACAGGCGTATCCGGCAGACGACACCCGATGCATAGGTCGCCAACAGTCTTTTTTTTGTTTTTTGTGCGCTTAGCTTGGGGACGTTTTTCCGCGCTAGCATGAACTCTCGCGCCCAGCTGGCTCATCTTTTGTGGAGCTGAGAACACAACAGAGATTCCGTACCGACCTCTGACCTGTTTTCGATTTTGAGAAGGCCGATGAAGGCAGCGTACTACCACCATCACAGTTCCCCACACCTTCCTTTCTCTTGTCTATACCTCTTGCCTGTTTTGGAAAGGAGCCGGCCACCTCAACCAAAAGGCCCAAAAGGAAACCCCGACATCCTAAGTCTATTCCCCTGCTCCATGAAACTGTCTTTCATCGAGTGCGCGCATGACTTATTGAGAGCCGATCCAAGCCCTGAAACGGCAATACCCGGTTTACTATTTTTGAGTGGGTGAACATCTAGTCAAGTACCGCCTTCATAGAGTGCTAAATAAAATATTAACAAGCATCTGTTGATTCTTTTTTTTTTTTTTGAGGAACAGCTACAGAATTAGGAACTGGATTACCCCCTTATTAAATTCTTCAAACGTAAAACTTTTTTTTTTCGAAAACTGTCATAGCATTTACCTTAGTATTAACCCCGCCGGCGCTGTCGTGGAAGACAAAACAAATCATCCACGTAGCGAAACGCCTTCCTCGCGGAAGCATCCTCAAGAGCACCTCCAATAGCTCTCTCCACTTCTCCAAGAACATTATCACTTCGAATCGGGGCCACACACGACCCTATACACACGCCTGTTTCTTTAAGAACTATAACTTATCTCGCCAGCACATCATCAAATTGATGTATAAAATTAAAACACAATGAATCAATGCCTTTAAATAAATTCGACATCACGCCAGAGGTGCCCTTTAAACGCATCCGCAGTCAATAAACATGACCGCTGTTCTGGCAGATATAAGCCAATCTGTTTTTGCCAGGAACCCTTCTCAGTCACAATAGCCCTAAACGGACAGAATTGTTTCTGTGTTTTGCGCTCCAAACACGTGTAGGTTCAAACTTTCAGATTTCTTGATTTCGTTTCCATCTGACTCAGGGCTTCAGGACTTAGCTATGGCACAGCTCATGTCCCCGCACCATATCCTTTTTTCATTACGGGATCCACATGCTTGAAGGTTTGAACATCGAATTGTTTTTACCAAACATGTCTTTAAACCCATTTTTGTCTGACACAAATACGCGCTTTTCATTGTCTGTCATGTAGTTGACAAAATGCCTCACTATACTCCGCGACAACCTTTCTTGGCAATGCAGTGGAAGGTACAGGCCCGCGTCCCCTCTCCCACTTTGAGTGTGCGCGGGCTCTCCTCCTCTCCCCGGAAATGGGGGAGGAGGAGAGCCTGCGTACACTAAAAATGGGAGAGGGGACGCAGGCCTGTACCTTCCACTGCATTGCCAAGAAAAGTTGTCGCGGAGTATAGTCCCACTTGTCCACCAGATGCTTTCAGACCATGCAGGGAATCCTCACACCCGGTCCGACGGTCCTAGTCCGAGGCCTTGTAAGAAACCTTTTTTTCAAGATTCACCAGCTCCGGAGGTCTCAGGACTTGCTCGAGCCCAAACTTGGTACCGACTTGCCTAGAGTATGAGAAACGTTGAGGTCACGCAGAGTGATAAACCATTGAATGCATGGGATGCTTTTTGCTTTCTAGGCTCCAACACTGGCCAAGCACTTAACCAAACAATATCTCTGCGGCCTCTAGTTGCCTGGCAGGTGTTCGTTTTATTTTGTGTGTTAGTAATATGACTAAAAAGTTTCCTTTGTTTCATTTTTGATAGAACAAACTTCGCTGGCGAGCCAGCCGTTGCCCTGTCGTATTCGTTCCGTCTTTGTCGTCCGCGCTTACTGAGACTATTTCATCCTGTTCAGTTAACATTGTCACGAACAACAAGAGCAGAAACAGCAATAGTACCCTTTCCAACTGAAACTTTATTAAGGCGAACTTGTGCCAAACAAAATAAAGAACAAGCGCAGAGACAGCAGACAAGCAGGTGGCAATTTAGCTGTGTAACAGCAACCGAGAGCGAGACTGACTCGACGAGGTCACACGCAGCTTCTTACGCAGTGCGAGCCGGCATCTCAAAGATTCGGCCCAAGCGTCCGTGGCGACTGACGGTGTTTTTTAAACTTGTGATTAAGTAACCGAGGTTAAAACGGTAATCTATTTTTTGGAGAAGGAGCAAACAAATGCTTGTTGCACGTCATTGCAACTGCCTTAATATGTCAGTAATTGTGTGAAGTAGCTATAGTATGTACCTACATTGTTTTTTTTTTTTTTTTGTAAGTGCAGCTCTTAGGCGCCCGTTTCCGGCTTAAGCGGTGTCGCGATTTAGCGAAAACATTTCCTGCTACATTAAGCGGGCAATCGTCTGCTATAAATTTGGAGGGAGATTCAGCGATTACTTCCCGCTAAATAGGAGGGGAGCAGAAAAAGAGGATGGGAAAGTACGGATGAGGAAGAGGGGCATAGCCTCCTCTCCGTACCTCCTCCTCGTCCTCCTCAAGAGCTGCGCTATAGTTCGGCATTCTAGGGGATTGTAAACGTCTGTCATTTTTTGTGCAAAATATTTTATGATTAAGTTCTTCGCCGGATCATCGGAACTTAAAGAAAGAAGCTTTCGTAAAAAAAAATGTGAAATGGCACTCTGATTTTTATTTGAATCTACTGGTCTTACACTCGAAGGGCGTGATAATTTACTTGCGTATGATTTGTTCCAGGTGCCGACCAACAGTCAAGTTACCTATGGCTTATCTTCTTGATAATGTTCTTATTTTATTTTCGCTGAGATCACCAGATTACAGTAAAGAAGGCAGTTGGGAGACGCCGCATCTCTACATTTCTATATCCGTCCATCACTTATTATTGGTCTTCGCGATGGCGCCATCTTGTCTTCCACCGCGCAGTGACAAGTCAGAATACAAGTTTCCATCAAGCTCTTCAAACTGATGCAAATTAGTTTTTCGCGGTGCTTGTCCGCATGTTCCACATTAAATTTTTATATGAACGACCGTATCGGGACGCAGCGGACTGATGAGACCCAGCATGAGAAGAGACAAGGGTCCCAGTTAACGAACTACAATACTTCACTCGTCAACAGCATGGAAAAGCACTCCCCAAGGCCAGGTAATGCGTTTTATTCAATCTGGTTATCGTTTTCTTCCTCAGATCCTCACATTATTGAATCAATCTTCGAACAAAAATTATCATTATATATGCTGCCTTTGGGCAACACGGAGTCAAATAAGAGAGAAAACAAAGAACACAAAAAAGCATAGAGAAAGAGAGCCCGCAATGTGAAACTATTTAGAACAAAAATATTCCTTCAATTTTGCATGAAGGCTAACAGGACCCACGGTGTTAAAGGAGCTGTGCAACGATATTCATTTGGAATGTTTTTCACTATACACGAGATTACTGGCACTAGTGGGAGTGAAGGATACTCGCACGCAACTCCGCTGACCAAGAAACTCCTTTGTTGCGGTGTAATTTCAGGGACAAAAGCAATCATTTTCATTCAATCTCTCCTTTGCGAAATTTCATGACGTAACGTGGGGATCGCAGTACACCCATAGAACGATATTTGGATGCTGTTCATAGATTGGACCCGAGCATTGCGTGGGCACTCGATTTGGGCTCGTGATAATCACTAGCTCGAGAAGCATTCGGGTAGTCGCCCGTGTCCAATCGCTGGAACGACGACAGTAGCCGAGCCATAACGATATCTGGAATTCAGCGCGTGTCTTGTGCTTTGCCAACCCCAGCGCGTGGCTATGATCTACGTTGGCGGCATATAATCGGCTCCAGATCACGTGGCCGCTTGTTCTGGCTGCGACTTGAGGGGGTGAACGCTGCTCGTTTTTCTTTAATTTTTTTCTGGGACTTCTATTGCGTGGGGTGAAAAACGAACGCGTGTTTCATAGGTCATTATAATGTCAGGGATCCGTTCGAAGCGGTATTTGCGCAAAGTACAAAAATTGTTGCATCGCCCCTTTAAATTCGAGCGCCGAGGGTACGTCGCAGTCGTAAATTTTATTCATTATCACTGTAATGGAAGTAACCCTCGAGCGAAATGTGTGTCTGTTTGTGTGTTCGCGTGTTTTTGCCCTGATTTAGTCATTTTTTAAGCTGTCCACCTAAATGAACGCCCTCACCCAGAGCACTGGACGAAACCCTCGAATAACATGTGCTATAAAACCCTTGCCAATGGTTTATTGCTGGCTTAATAAAGATGTTAACTATTCTAATCTAAGTGCAAACAGCAGATACTTCTTTACAACGACCTTGCTCAGATAAAAGTGCACATTTCTTTCTCAACCAAATGAACATGTAATTAAAAATAAATCAGTTGCTTTATTCACGAATGGTCTGCATACTGCAACATTATTTTCGCGTCTGTCATGTCTTGAACCGTGCTATGTCATTAAGTTTAAAAAACCTGAACGGAGATATTTAGTCTTTGTTGGGTTGGGAAGCGAGAGGCTGCGAAAATGTCAGAAGTTTTATTCGTCAAAGCTGAAGCGTTGAAGATTAGAAAAACCGCGGAAAGGGTTGGCAATTTCATTAGTTTTATTTATAACAAGTCCCACTGATCTACAAGATGTAAAAACTTGCATAATTCAACAACGAATATAAAAATGTACAAGTGTAATGGGCAGTCACATGCGCAACAATATTTGCTGAAGGAGATACTGATGAAAATGTTAAACAATACTGTAAACACCAGCACAAAGTGGAAAACTAGGCTAGTTTTTGACCTTGTGCAGTTATCACATTAGAGTATTTGAACCAGCTCTTAGGACCAACTAGCTACAATTAAAAAAAAAATGTAGTGGTGAGAATACGTGCCCTAAGCCACACCTGCCTTGTAAGTGCGGGTGCCCCATCGGTCAATCTTGTTACTTCAATGCAAATATCTCAAATGCTTTGTCAGTACTCCGCCAACAAAATTAAGGATCGTTAAAATATATATTTGTTTCGGAGCGGTTGGGGGGGGGGGGGGGGTTAAACTTGAACAGAGCTGCTACAATTGCTTTTGAAAATATCAAAAAATAAATAAGAAAACGATTTTATTTATACGTTAACACGCAGCATGTGGGTTACTCACTGTATCCGCAGTATTCTCAAGTTCCAATGGTATTGCTTCAAAAACGAAAGAGCGACAAGTCACGGGTATTTGTCCGTCACTCCATATTATCGATACCCGTATAACGCAGAGCAAGCACCATTTGTCTGTAATGGTCGAAGAGCAATGCAACCCCTTGGCGTGTGTCTTCAAAGATGTAGTCGACGACAGACCTGGCGAGGAAGGGCTAAATGAGGCCACCTGCACAAACGGTATTTTTTCAATGAACTACTGCAACTGCATACTGGGAGGAAGGGCAGCGGAACGAAAACCTCAACGTGAAGACACTCTTGGTGACACGACTTCTTGAAGTTATTAAATATGAAGACAACACAAACAATATCGCCGAAGTCTGAGTCGTATTTAAACACCAAGCTTGCGCGGTGCCGTAGCTCAAAGTGACGTTTTGTTACATGCTACAAAACATTGTTTACGTGACTACATGGTTCGGGGGAGGGAGGAGGGGGGGGGGGGGGTATATGAGGCATTCCTAAAGCGCTTGACACAAAAAAAAACAATCAAAGTTGGGGTTTTAAGTGGCTCCTTCAGCGTTCACCATTTAACGGAGCGAAGAGACAAAACAGCGGTTTCCCCAAACTGTTATTTTTTTCATTGTTTAACTAAGCGACACAATACTCAAGTACATGAATCTTGTGATTCTTGAAAAACTTAAGAGTAACAGTAGAAACCTACGCGTGTAACGTGATTCGGATCACTCCCCCGGCCAGTTTGGTGGACACGCGGTCTCGAATCCAAGTGAAGTCACGCCCGACAGTCTCCTGCTGCCTTACCGTTTCTGATATGAAGGGAAGAACTGACTCACCGAGAGCGGAATGCGCGAACATAAACTTGGTTTCCCTTTAAGTCCAATTGCAGCCGACGCTTCGATCCAATGGATCCTTTCACGTAGTGACAGAAAGGCATCGTTTCGACGCTCGAAGACTGTACGTTTGCTTACACCCATCAGACGCACTAAGCAAAGTGAATGCGAGGCTAACCTGCGCTTTTTTAGAACGAAGCTGTCTATGGCGAGGGTTCTACAGATTGTTCCTATGCGTCAACAAAAATCGCAACGCCCTTTGTTTGTCGTCGTTCCAAGCGCTTGAGTGCCTAGCTCTCCTGGGGTGACGGTCCCGTCGCGCGTGTCTACTTTCCTCTGGCTCCTCTGTGCAGCGATCGTTTGTACATTTGTACAAAATCTTGTGTCACGTGCCCTGGGATAAAAGAGTTTCGCTGGTCATCAAACTTCACTGAGTAGAATGGCACATTATTAGTTTTTCTGTGGGTGATTCGTTAATTCGACGATAGCGAGCCCAAGAAGACAACGAGCGCAATGATGATGCAATTTTCGCGCCGCTTGCTTAGGTTCCTCAGATCGTGTCTACTGCGTGATATGAAAAAGCGAATATGATTAGGAAGAGAAAAAGGGGTCAGGACAGAACGCTTTTCTAAAGTCGGACTGCTGTTGGACTTTAAGCGAGACCAAGTAGACCTGTTATCCTTTCAAAAGACCCCCTGACATTACAGCCATAGGCGCCTAAGCTTCTCGTCTCGTTTATTCGAAGTGCTGGCTAGATACGCGTGAAAATGGTTCTGTGCACTTTAGGGCACAGAACCGGAGACAAGACGAGATTTAGAGTTTTTGACACTTCCGGTATAATAAGCTCTGCAACAGACGAGGTATCTCTGTTTACGTCTTGTAGTCACCGGCATCTTAAAAAAGTCAGGACGTTCTGTATTCTCTGCGCACTGATTTATAATTCGAGCTTCGGCGCCTTTATCTACTAATTCCGGAGTCCCATTGGCCGAAACGATAATAACTATTCCGGGGCTCACCAGGATTTGTGTTTCTAAATTTGTCGGTGCGTCTAGGGTGCCTTCATGTGCGCTTTGCTTAGGGTGGAGACATCTGGCCATTTTGTCTCACACTTTTATTTTTATTTTTTGTTCAGAAGCGCGTGAAAGCACGTGTCCCTGCACGCGCTCGTGGCGCTGACTGTGCTACGGCGACATTTTGTTTTCGTCGATTTCTTTGTATTTTACGCGTGAGTGCGTGCTGTCGGCATCGGGCACTACAAAGGGTGGCATCACCCTAAACAGAAGGACATTGAGGCACCCTAGGTGCGTCATCCAAGCCGCTGCATTATGCGTATATTCGAGACGCTCATGAACCCACCTGTTGTATTGTAGTTGGCCCATACATCAGTTATGCTGTCCATGTAAAGATCTATACAGAAAAACGAATGTCAAGTCGATGACGAGGAGAATGATGATGGCAGCAATGCCCACCCTCACGATGGTTTTGTTGCGATTCCAGGTGAGCTCGTTCGATCCCGTCTGTTGGGTAATGTTGACGTCCACTGCACCGGATACGTGGTCTCTGTCCTTGGTCATCTTTGTCTCCGTCACGGTGATGCATTCGATGAAATCCCCGCGTTCCTGTCCACCGAGCTGAGGCATTGTAAGCAGAAGCAGACAGTAGCACCGATGGGAGCACGGGATCACGCGCAGCCGACGTGGCGCAAGACACGTGCGAACCAGATTCGCGACGTGAGCTGAACCAGAGCCTCATATCTACACTCTAAGAAAAAGTGAGCACCCCCCCTCGTCATCGTGCGTTTTGACGGCTGTAACTACCCCACAGGCTTACTTAACGACCCACTGGGCTCCAGCCATCGAGAGTTAGCACCCTGTTGGCAGGTGACAAGCATGGGGTAGTCACGTTTTATAAACTCTTGAATTGAACATTCAAGTGCATGCAGTCGTTCAATAGTAAAAGTCACTTCAAAAATCTCAAAAAGTACTTGAAACTTGTTTTCTTTGTGCGTTGGTTATCATTTATTCAAATTTGAACCGGTCGAAACAAGCGTGTGGCTCAGTTCACCTAAACTGGCAGAAAACAAACAAGTACAGGCAACTTTGGTAGGCACCTGCTAAAACCCGAGGCAGATAAAAAGTATCGCGGTTGTCCTTTTAGGTTCCGTCGCGGGTTTTACCATGTACAGCAGTAAACAGCTGGCAGCTGGCGTCGTGCTCGAAGAATCTCTAGAAAAGCACAGGAAGCTACGCACAGGCGTGAGTTGACTTGAATGTTCGCCGGACGAGATACTCTCGTCGTCTTTTATTGTGCGGTTCAGTAAAGAGTGTGCTCTCAATAAAGGTGTGATCGGTCAGTTCTGCGTGCAGATCAGTTGAAACTGGCCTCCTCGGTTCCGCCGAACTTGCGCGCCTGTCGTACCCAAGTTTTTTGCTTTTAAGAGCAGTGAAGTA